AAAAAAACAAGTGGGCTCCCCCAAAGTCCACGGTATAGTTCGAACACTGGTTGCAGGCATTTTTTAAATACTCAAATAATGATACTTTAAGTATCATTATTAGTGATTTTAGATCTCCCACGGTGGGTTACGTTTCCTCTCTTCATCGCCCCCTAGTGGACATAGGCACAACTGCAAATTGCCTTCCATCAGTCGTCTTCCTCTGATTGTCCTGTCAGCATCCATGCACTCCTGAATGTTTGTAATGAAAGAGAAAAAAAGCTTTTTTGTGCACTCTAAAAAGGCGTATTTTGTGTGCTTTATCCTTGAAACACAACTCTGAAAGGTCTACTTCATTTGAGTGGTCATAAAGAAAGATGCTTGCACATATACACCGGCATTAAAATATGTATTTAATGTTCTATAATCTGTCTGGCTTCCTCTGTCAGTCACTGTTTCTCTTTTTCTTTTCTTATAAAAATAAAATAAAACTACAACCACACACTGGCAAAGGACGACGGTAGATGTTAGCCATTTATTTAATTAGAATTGAAATGTGTTGATTACAATATTTATTGGCAAAAACAATGATGATCCTCGCTTTTATTTTTATGTTTTACATTTTTTGCTCTTTAATGAATTGCGTTTCACAAATGTTTTAATATTTACATTTTGTTCAAAGGCCTATAGTTCTAACAGCAGATTCTACTGTGGCAACTTACACAGTATGCTGTGTCAACATGCATCATGACTGGTCAACGTGTTTAATGGGTTGAATTTTTTTTCCTTGTCAAATAATACTGAAAACACTCAAAACCTTGAAAAAAAGCTTGAAATAGTCATTTTATTATTATTATTATTATTATTATTATTATTCAACGGATCAGTAATACCAACAGTTTTGCTGTAGTAACAATTAACATAACGGTTTGTCATGGTTAATGGTTTTAGCCTATTACGTATTGAATAGGTTACCATTTTACTGGAGTAAAAAAAAGATTTTCTTCATTTATTATTTTGTTTTGCTTTTACTTTATAATATATATATATATACACTTCTTTTCCGGATGTGTGTAAAGAGGGGTGTGGCGTGATAGAGGCAAGCAGCAAACATTGCACTCACTCACCATAAGCATTTACTATTCAGAAGTAAGACGGAGGAATTGAGAGGAGTGTGTGAGTGAGTGGAGATCAGAAACGAAGGGGGATAGGCGTTAATGCAGCGTTTTTTTTTTTAATCTTCATTTAATAATTGAATAATAATCTCCCTGGAGAAGTGACCTAGAACTGAAGAAAAGAAATTGATATTCATTTGGCATCTAAATACTGACACCTCCTGGTCAGTCGTTATTACTGCAATAACCCACTGAGTTTCGCTCCATCCTCTCGGTGTCTACTGCTGTGACATTGACAAACGAGTGCAGTGAAGAAGGGACCGCGGCGGGGATTTGAATTCTGACACTTGCACTGCAACTTTTCCAGCCTGCAGTATGACACTCCCCGCGAGAGCTGCATTCACTCGGCGCAAACCCTCCTCGTTGTTTATATACCATGCGTTACGCGCGTTTTCATCAGACTCCGTCTCGGAATGGTGAGACTCATTGTCAATACAGCTGCGCACTGGAGCGGTATAACAATATATTACTACAGGTCCCCACACAGCCATCACTCGTCTCTCGCTTCTTCATGCTCACCTTCGTTCTATCTCACAGGCCCGAGGGAGCTTCCCCCGAAATGCAAATGTCTGATACAAGTTTGTACCGATTGTGCCTGAACTTCAGCCGAAGAAAATGCATCCATAATCACGTGAAAACTTATTTTGTCCTCCTTTAACCTTGAAGGAAAAGAAAAGGCCTGTTTGTGTGTATAATGATTGACAACAAAACTACTCGTTTCGTCCCGTGTAATGATTATACTGTAAATGTAGCTACATAAATAATCTAGTGCATGAGCTCAACTCAGAGCACTGGATCATTTCCTCTAGGAGAGGTCACTGGGGCTAAGAGGAACTCTTTTTTTGCTTTTCATTTTGGAGGAATGTGAAATCAAGGGCACCTGACCTCTTGCCGTTTGAAATCAGATGTGCTTGACTGATTCCAAATGTGAGGGCATTTCTAGTGGTTCTCACATTTAGCTTGGCTGTTGGAGAGAGCAAATGATTGTTCTCAGCTGTATCCTTGTCCTCTGGTGTCAAACTGTGTGTTTTCACTGGTCGTCTAAACATTTTGTGTAATTTAAGCATATTTTGCAGCACTCTGAAGGTAGTAGATAAAGTACAGTATTTGGATGACAGCACTGTCCTGCAGTTTTATTGCTAACTAAAAATAAAACGGTTGAAAACCATTTTTTCCATCAATTAAAATAAAATAAATATAAAATAAAACTAAACAGTTCAAATGAAACAAATTCAAATGAGTGAAAGTAACCAAAATTACTACAACTGTCAAAGAGTCTAAAATATTTGTAATAATAACACTCGTCCCCTTCAGCATGACGGCAGCCAATACCGCGATCTTATATTTATTAATAATTATTAAAATATTTAAAATTAAAACTTTTTTTATTTAAATATTATAGCGTTTAGTAAATATTATAGTTTCTATTTTGTATTGTTTTTATTCCTATTCGTTCCAATTTTTGCCCAAGGGTATGGAAAATTGGAGTACAGGAAACTGGAAATTGTTTTGCAGTTGCTTATACGCAAATCTGTCATGTTTGCCTTTTTTTTTTTTTTGTCTGGACCTACTGTATGCGTAAAGACATGCAAATACATGCATGTATGTCCAGCATTATTTGAGCAATAGTTGACCATCTTTTGTGTGTTTCTTTGTGTCATCAGACTTCGTAAGGAGGGCTACACAGTGCAGGTGAATGTCAATGACTATCTGGATATCTACTGTCCTCACTACAACAGCAGCCAGAGAGGCGTCGCCGAGCAGTACGTGCTCTACATGGTCAGTTATCGTGGTTACCGTACGTGTGACCCGCAGCTGGGCTTCAAACGCTGGGAGTGTAACCGTCCCCACGCCCCGCACGCACCAATCAAATTCTCGGAAAAGTTCCAGCGCTACAGCGCCTTCTCGCTCGGCTACGAGTTCCACGTCGGGCAGGAGTATTATTATATCTGTGAGTATGTTTTTGTGTTATTATATAGGAATCTCAGACAGCCTGTCCAGTACATGTCCACCAAAAACAAAGAAATTATGTTGTTCTTCAAAGAAGTTTAATAAATTATTATTTTGCATTACTACATTATTTTTACAGTTAAGCACATCATCCCAGACTTTTATAAATGGATAAAATGTGAAAGTGATTCGACATCGAAGTACTATTTGTTGCCCTACCTTTAATATGTTTACTATAAGTTAAAGTTAGAAGAAAAAAATATATAGAAATTGAGAGAAAAAAAAAAATAATTAAGGACACTTTATTGATTATTGCTAATGAGAATATTGGGAGTTTAATAATAATAATAATAATAGTAACAGTTGTTATTATTATCATCATTTATACATTAAAGTATTTAGTGCCAAGTACATTAATAATACTTTTTAACATTTTGTGAGAGATTCAACCATTTGTGAATATATAACGTTTTATAACTCGGCTTAGTTATATTACTGCAAGTGCATTGTATAATAATTAATATTATTATTACTACATATAATTATATCTGTACGTACACAGCACTAACACTATGCACACTACTGTATGTGTAGGACCTTTTGCGGTCATTATCATATAAGTTACCATAATACAAAACTACAGGCTTTTTTGTTACTAGATACTGATATTTTTACTTAACATTTCAATGTGTTCTTTGGATGTACAATACTACAGTACTATAGAATATTACAGTTATGAAACCTATTTCTGATGATTGACAGATGACTGACATTTTGCGGTTTTGTTTTAGCCACACCCACTCATCACCACGGCCGGAGCTGCCTGAGATTAAGAGTGTATGTCTGCTGCTCAACAGGTATCGACCTCAATCCATCCGTCTGTCCATCCATCATTCCATCCAACTCTTCTATTTTTCAGTCAGTTGATCCGCCCGTCAGCCAATTTATGAGGTGCACTCAGTCCGTGTTTCTTTAACTCTTCTATCTGTCTTTCGGAGAATTAAATCAATCCGTTTACGCAGAAAGCACACTCTCTCCCTCTCTTTTCCCACTAGGTTTCACATCTTAATGTTGTTGTTTGGCACTACAGTGATTCCCAACTGAGGGTTACTTGAAAAGATATTGATTTTGCTTTGTTAAACCTGCACTACCATTCAAAAGTGAGCAAGATTTATTTTTATTATGATTTTTTTTTTTAAAGAACTTATTCAGAAAGGATGCATTAAATGTTAAGGATTTCTATTTCAAATCAATGCTGTTCTTTTGAACTGTAGGTCCATAAAATATTAAATCAGCACAGCTGTTTTCAACTTTGATAAAAATAATGAATGTTTCTTGAGCACCAAATCAGCATATTTGAATGATCATGTGACACTGAAGACTTTAATGATGCTGAAAATTCAGCTTTGCAGTCACAGAAATAAATACCATTTTGAAATAGATTAAAATAGAAAACAGTTATTTTAAATTCGAATAGCTTTTCACAAGGTTACCATTTTACTGTATTTTTTGTTCAAATTAATGCAGCCTTTGTAATCATAAGATCTAAAAAAGTAAAAATCATACAGATGACATTTTTAGTGTATATAACAGAATTTGTGACATTAAAATTAAAAAAAAATCTAATTAAATAGTTATAATAAAATTACAATTTAAAATGTCTTACCTAATTGAAACAATATCAAGCTGAATACAGTTAAAAACATACTTACATATATAAGGCTTTTGGAGTATATAAAACAAAAAAAGGTTGGGAAACACTGCTATAACTTGCTCATTCTCTGTCATTTCTTCCCTCTCTCTCTCTCTTTCTCTCTCCCTCTTCTCTCTTGTATCCAGGTGCTGTCAGGATTCATGTTCTCTCACAGTCAGTTTGCTGCCACTGAGTGTTATTTTAACCCCTCACCCTCTCATTCTGTCAGTGCTCATGTTCATTAATAATATTCCAGTATGTGCAAGAGAGAAAGAGAGAGCATACTGTGTGCTGTCTTAACCTCTGCCCTCTCTCTTGGAGTCTTTGAGTTCTTGTGTCAAGTCGAATCTGTTAGTCCCGCTCAGTCAGGTCTGAACTCCAGTGCCTTGAGTTCAAAGGGCTGAAGCAGGGCTGATGTATTTATAAGGATGTGGAAAACTACATACTAATGAGCTGATGAGTTGAATCAGGTGTGTTAGATTAGAGAGATAAAATGTGCAGTCATCGGAGGCCTTTGAGACCAAGATTGAGAACCACTGAGCTAAAATAGAAATAAAATAGAAATTAATACGCCATCTTAAAAAAACACAACAC